AAAAAAAAAAAAAAAGAGAAAACAAAATAATATGTAAATAAATGAAATAACATAATAAAATAGATAAGCAGACAATAAATAAGCCAATGTTTGTAAAATTAACATTGAATAATTAACATGTACAGACTTTGTAGAAGTTTATTTTACAAAGTTTGCTAGAATATCATCTGTCGAAAATAAAGAGTAAAACTTTTTTATAAGATACTTCGTTTGAAAATTTATTCGAGGCTGGAATCTGACTAATTCCAAACGTAACAATTAACTAAAAGAATAATTAACAGATTAGTCTACCTTGAAAAATAAATGAAAAGTATAATCAAGTTTTTTTCGTTTAAAGTTTCAAGAAAAATATCGTTTGATTTCCCGGAAACAAAGCATCGTACAAAAAGATTTCATTCTACGTTCTCGACTTACTTTCACACATAGAATAATCTCCTATTCCTTTCTGTTAAGCTTAAAATTAGCCAAGTAACTTAAATATATTTTTAAACTTGATCTTCTCAAAAACTTTACATTGGAAAATTTCATTTCTTTCTTTTCGGTTTATTTTGTCGTCGTTTCCGAAGAAATCATTAGTTACTGATTACGAGATACTGAAATAGGCACTTTTATAAAAAATTTTACTGGTCAAATAATTATTAAACATTAAATGTTTTATATATATATGAAAATAAGAAATAAATTTACTTGCTGTTCTGATATCGAAAGTTTTTCGGTAAGGATGTACCACATCACAGTTTCTTGACATCCAGGAGTGGTTAAAGATCCGTCATAATGGTAATACGTTGTATGATCTTTTGGTAAAAGAAGGAAAGGAATAATCTTCGTTTCCATTAATGCTGTGGTTTCTCCGACTGCGTTAGATACTAATTCCGTTGCTTTCAGAATTGACGTTATTTCCAAATTGTCCACGCTATTCAACTGAAAAGGTATTTCACACACTTTGTCAATACAAACATAATTATATTTATAATAATTACATCAGAAACTAGTTATTAATAAGTTATTCTATCGAAAGCATACCCATAATTTTTTACATCTAAAATATATGTACAATGTGTTTTGTTTTGTTTTGTTGCAATTACTATCTAAAAATATCGTAATTACTATGTTACTATAAGATTAAATTGTAATTACTATTTGAGATATACGTATAATTTTCAAAAGTTCGTAAAATATAAGAATGACAATTAAGAAGTTAAAGATTCCGGAGAAATATTATATTATTATATTATAA